AAAAAAAAAAAAAAAAAAAAAAAAAAAAAAAAAAACAATATGAACATCAAAAACATTAGTGCCTACAGTGAGTTAAAACACATCACATACAGAAACATCTCTGAGTCATGATGATACTCTAAAAGAAAAACAAAACACGAAACCAACTCACTGCTCATCTGTGAGAATCCTACAGAAACAATATTTATTCTTAAAACTGGAATACTGCAAAATGATTAAATATTTGTCCTACCCTTCCTGTGTGAGCCATACCTCAGTTAAGCCTAATAGTTGGCAGGGGCGGGGGAAGTTTCTCTTATAGAAAATGTCCAGCTAATAAATGCAGAAAAAATTGTAGACTCTAAACATCATCAGTTTAGAATTTTTAATGAAATGCAGATCTTGGTAAAGATCTTCAGAGATTGTAAAAAATCATGAGTTGGAAAGCTAATAGGAAATTTCATAATTGATGGATCAGTCTAACACCACCTGAGCCCAGTGCTCAATCTTAATGTCAAGGTAGGAGTGACAATCAGACACAATAAGGCTCCTGGTCTGCTATGAATTGAATGCTTGTGTCCTCCCAAAACTCATATGTTGAAGCCCTAATCTCCAATGTGACAGTATTTGCAGATACGACCTTTGGGAAATAATTAGGTCATCAAAGTGGAGCCCTCATTATGAGATTAGTGTCCTTATAAGAAGAGAAACAGTGAGCTTGCTTGCTCTCTGCATGCACACACCAAGAAAAGGCCATGTGAGGACATAACCAGGAAGAGGATCCTCACCAGGAACCCAACCATACTGGTGCCCTGATTAGACTTCTAGCTTCCAGACTCATGAGAAATAAATGTTTGTTATTTAAGTCACCTAGTCTGTGGTAATTTGGTAAAGCAGCCTGAACTAAGAGTTGGTGTAAGGATATAGGAAGTATGTAACACATCTGAGGTACTCTTGCCAAAAAATCCTGAACTGGATGAAGCCTCTAACTCTACTAATTTACAGAAAATAGGAGGGGTCACAGCAACGTAAGTAACAGCACAATGGGGATACAATCAACAAAATTGAGAATGTAAACTCCACAAACCAAAGATCCAGTTTAATAAGCAAATACAGGTTGAGAATCCCTAATCTGAAAATCCAAAATCTGAAATGCTCCAATTGAG